AAAACAAAACAAGTTTTATTTTCGTAACAAAGAGAAATTTAACGTTAGACGCGACCATTATTCTTTCACATTCCCTCATCCATATTCATCGTTTTTGGTCCAAGACATCGTAGAAAACCCTCAGAAATAAAACAAACAAATAACACCTTACTAACCAATTTGTTGTTGTTGTTGTGAATGACTTCAAGATGCCAATGGAAACGGCAAACGCATTTCGATGGTGATATTCTATACAAGCTAAGAACTCTAATAATAGCTTAGCAGCCAAACAAAGGTGAATGACTTTTCCACATACAAATTAGTAAAAAGAAACCTGTATGGATGGATGAGCAGCTGTTTAAAGTAAACAGCTGATTTTATGCTCTCCAACTGATGCTATTAAGAGAATTCCAATTTAAGAGAAGAATTTCAATTTAGAACACAAACTAAATATTCTCATCTGTCCAATTAGAATTGTTCTTTTCTGTTTGGACACTCTCTCAGTTGATCGAGCGAGCAATCTCTTTAGTAAATTCTTTTGTTTACATTTCGTCTAAACAACACAAACAGGTGTTTGTAGTTTGTTTTGTTTTTTTTATTATTCCATTAAGATACAGATAAGAGAACGAAGGCTGTGTTTGCCGGTGGTGCACATGCGCATAGCCAAATTCTAGTTTTGAATGTTTGAAGAAAATAATTGATAGTTTACTTAGATCGAAATCGAATAGAATCCCAGTTGTTGCATGCGGATATGTGGTGTTATGTAATGGTATTCTGTAAACAAACACACGAATAAGACAGGATGTCGAAAATAAAATATGTATGATATAACTTTAACAAGTATGTGACAAAAATGTGAAATTTTATTGATTTAGTTATGTGTGTGATTTTTTTGATTACCATTTATTTAGACTACAAGGTAATTTAAAAGCGTTGCTAAGATTTTTGGATGGGCCAAGAAATGTGCGTAACAAAAAAATTCAACCTTCACTATTTGGAACTTTTTGTATTGAGGTACCGTGGGATTGTGCCAATATGTCAGGTTCATGATTGTTTTATTGAGGTGACCGGATATCGGTCAATTAATTTTGTGCAATCAAGGGGTTCTAACAAGGAGTTTTATTCAATTTTATTGTAGCAATAAGGAGGGATTTATATAAGACTACACTTTGAATAATATGAAATATAATATAATACTAGATATGTTATAGAAATCTTGAGACACTATTAATATACCAAACTGATATTTTTATGAAACTTCAGCCAGTCTCTCACATGTCAATTCTTGACACATTTTCATGCTAAAAATACAATCTTAAAATTATGATTATGTTTTTGTCCTAGATTAAAGTTTAAAATATCACATTAAAGTTCATAAATGATACTGATACTACCAGACAAACCAAAGGACATAATATGAAAAAATCATTCAACCATAAATGTGCTTGATTCAATGCATGCATCCATTCATCCATCCACAAGTTATCTATATTCCCCATTGGAGAGTATATTGAGATAATGAATCATAAGGAGTATAAATAGAAGATGAAAAACTCAAACTGAAGAGCCAGAGACCAGAGACAAATAACAAACAAAGGTGTGGCCAAAGCTTTTGTTCTTGCAGACGATAGTTGGCGTTGTTGCTGGCTGGCTGACAACAATGTTGGAAAGCAATTGTTAGTTCTGGAGTAAATATGATATATGGAATAGGACCCAAATAAACACAAATAAGATAATCTGGGATAATATTTGCATATGCTCGTTAGGGGGGAGAAATATTTACCATAATTACACAGTGATATCTTGTTAAAAAACAAACACATCCCGAATACAGAATAAAGAACAAAAACATGTGTGTTTGGTATACACATTTTTGAAATCTGTGTAGTAATCCATAATTGTTTCTTTGGAATGTCTCTACGGTGTATTACCACTGTGTCATATTTATTCTAAAACCTAATTTGATTCTATGTTGATATATCACTAGCCAATGGTTTACCATCATTGAATGTTGACAAACCAAATATCTATGAGAGACTATATTTGAATTTATCTTTATTAAAAGTTCATGACAGACAACAGTTTAATTTCCTTCTTCCCAGACCAGGGATGGATACTAAGAATTAAACAGAAAATACTTTTCGAGGGCAAATAATTTCAAAACTTTATCTTTGAACTACTTTTCAAGGCATAAGGTTTTTCTTTCCCAATAGGGAAACCTAAGATATTTTAATTATTTGTATATTTTTCAAATATTAATAACAGCATTGATTTTCTGAAATACTTTACAAATTTACAAAATTCTTTTAAGTTGGCCATCCCTGAAAACAGATTGAATAGCCAGGCAAACAAATAAGTAGAAAAGGCATCAAACAAAACGACACCCCAGGCTAGGAGGCATTCAGCCATTGAGATTAGTAACGCAATTGCGTAAAGCCTCAAATGAAAACTCCCGACCATATGGTTGGGATTTAATATACGTTGAAAATATTAAATTTAACTCTGCACCAGGCCATAAACAAAAGACCAGATGAATAGATGGATGACTGTTTGACTGACTGGCAGTACTAACGGAGGACTGTCTAGATTGTATGTGTGTGTGTGTGTCGATAGTTAGGAAGATGGATGGCTGGTAGATGACGAAGAACAACTAGCAGAAGAGTTTGTTACTTTTAGTGATTCTACACAGCCTAGCACTTAAGCCACAAACTTTGAATGAACATTCACCATGGTTAAGAGGAACTAGGAGATGAACAACAACAACAACCATAAATATATAACTTCATACCTTTAACATTGTTTGGCTACAATACAAAACAAACGAAAAACAGCACTAGCAACAACACCACCAAGTACCGGCAAATATTCAGATAGGCTGACAGACTGCCATGGACGAACAAAAGCTGGAAGAACACTGCCATCACGACACACTCGCATACAATTTCAACTGCTCAGAATAAAAGCCGGTACCCCAACCTAACTAGCGAGTCACTTGTTTAGATGGATGCGTATTCTATAGACTGTGAAAGTAACAACAAGAACAACAACAGCAATACAAAACCGCTAAGAGAACAAAAATCATTCCTATGGATACCAGATCTAGATTTATAAAACGAGATTTGTTTGTTTGTGTTTGTTTAAATACAATTTGTGTATGCGTGAGTTTGTGTGCATGTGTGAGTTCAATGAACTGCCATCGGCGGCAGCAGCACCACCAAGAACCAAGTAAATGATACTGTTCTGCATCTTCGACGGATGACATCGTCAACATTGACGTGGATGACAAAGAACATGATGCTTGGTTTCAATAGCAGCACATAGTGATGGTAATGGCCACCAGTGTTGTTGGTTTCCCCTCCGGTCATAATTGTGGATCATGTCGTCAACCAACGAGAGTAAAAGCACAACTATTTTTCATCACTTTATTCTGTGGTTAACGCATTCCAAGACCAAAAGGATGAGATGCGAAATAATAGAAGACATAGTGAAATTGTTGTTGGAGAGATCATAGAACGACGATATTAAATCTAATCTAAATGACTTGAGGGGGTTACAATCAATGTTGGGTAAAACCCAAGCTTCTGACACTCAAATGCCAACACTTGTAATCACCAAATACGAAGTCAGGCAGTGCTTAAATAGAGTAACAACATAATGTAGCACTTTGCCAGCTTCCCTGCCTGCCTGCTTCCTTCCTTCCACACAGCCAACTGCTGCTGTCGCTCCAAGGCGGAGGAGCAGATGAGAAAAAGAAACGTACGACAAGTAACATTAATCTGTGGTCTACGTGTGCACGTGTGTTAGTGTCAGTATTATTACTAACTTACTATAGATGACTAGAAGTCCATAAAACGTACAACATTATATTAACCCTGAAGAGAAGTGAACTGAACTGAAATAACAAACGTACGTTTTGTTTCTAAAGTACATCATCATTATATTGTTGGGCTATTGAGATGAGAACAACAAAGTTGTGGAATAACAGTACACTGGAAGGAAATTAAAATGCAAAGAAATTTTATAAAAACAGACGCCTTATGTAGGCCCTTGAAAAAAATATTTAAAAAATCCATGCCTTATGTAGGCCTTTGAGAATGGACTTGCTTTTTAATACAATGGCTACACATTGGAAAATTGACAGGGCTTGCATGGATCCTCACATGTACTATGCCATCGTGTCATGATATCATTAAATGAGCATGAGTGTGTAGTTATCTGAGCTGTAGAGTAATATCACTTTGTTGTTGTTGCTAACATTTATTGTTAAATTATTCTATGGGGAAAACTTTGTTTCTCGTCCATCAGTACAAAGAAGAATATATAATTTGTAAAATTTACTCCACTGACAAATATCCGTTAACCGTTTCAACAGCGATTAGCAACAAATACAATAATATTTTCTAAAAGATAATCTGCAAATAGGGCCATTACCCTTTTAACATAAATTCTCCGAAGCAATCAGCCGTAAACACACAAAATTGCGTCATAAACAGGAAGCAAAAAATAAATATTTTCCACAATTATTTACGATAAAATAATGGCAAAACTGAAACTGAAAAATGCCGACGTCATGAACCGAAAAGCAAAATAACCATAAAGAAGCCATGACAAGACGAATGACTTGACTTAGAAACTTAGTGGCGATTTAATATAATTACAGCATCATTTCGATAATGATTGAGCAGAAAATAAAATTGCTTCGCAAGAAGTGGCTTTAATGGTTTCAAAAGCAAGAAGAAGAAATATTAAGTTGTTAATGGCTTCAATTGCGGGACTACTACGAGATGACAAAGGGTACAATGGACGCAATAATTATTATTGGGCGCAAAAAATCACAAGCATTGTTATGCCAAAATGTTAAATGGCATTTGCAATGATGATATTCGGTAAAGAAAATACATATTTCAAAATTAGCCCTTATTCAGAAGTCAAAACATCATATCATAACATTAATTTACATTCCTGTATCACAACAATTTTTCTTTTATATTAATTTACTTTTTTCCGTCCTTTCTTTACAGTCCAATGACTACACATACCAAAATACTCTAGGAAGGCGTTCCTCATTGGGCGCCTACTATCACATGAACAATCAACCATCGTACAGTACTGACAACCTTAACACTCAGTATGGCTACAACAGTTCATGGGGCATATGGAGAGATGGTCGAAATTTGGCGCCCTCAACATTTTCCGCCAAACCACATTTGCACTATCAGAAAACCAGATCGTTTTCGATAATTCTAACCACCGCTGCATTCATTGTGCTACTGGCCGTGATATCCATTGCCGGATTGGCATTTTATTTTAGCTCCATTAAAGGCAACATGGAGGACCGTAAGTTGAATAGTAAACTTTTCTGAATTGCTAATAAATTTATTTTCCATCCTTTCAGCTGTTTTGGGATTTGAAGGTACCTTCCGCATTGCCAAGGGTGATATGTTTTCTACAGGTCTTAAATATAATCACACATCTTCGTATAAGCAAAAAATAGAATTTTATAAACGTTTTGTGGATAGAGCGTTAATGGATCAGGGTCTGCAACCCATCCGGACGGATGTTTGGGGCTTTGGAGAGGGACCTTTAATAAAAGTCAATTTCCGAGCATTCTTTGATGTTAGGAAATTGCCACAGTAAGTCAAATGTTGTACTAGTCATAATCCATAATAATCCATTAATGACATCTCCATCTAGGAATATACACAACGTGGAGGAATACATTAAGGAGGCTATCTTTTTGGAGACCACCACAGCCAAATCATTGTACAAATCATTACGCATTGACTCGGATTCAGTAGAAGTGAAACGTATACTGGATGAACAGGTGGTTAAATCGGCTTCATTATTTAAGGATGCGGTATGTTCGAAAATCTATAATAACAATATGTCACGTTAATAATCATCCAACTCTTTTCATAGCACACTGTCCCCACCAGCCAAACACAATTGGAGAAACGTTTAATGAAGAAAACTGGCAGCCCACCAACTCTCATTAATAAACCCTCTGGCAAAAGTCGTGTGACACCCAAACCCCATTCACCTGATGATGAACCCGATGTTGATGTTGAAAATGCCCCGGTTATTCAAGGCTCATTCGAAGGATCCTTTGAAATAACCAAAACGGATGCGGATATATCGCAACGCAAGAAAACAACCCCCACTAGAGCCTATGGACACAGCAGCAGCAGCTTGGCACCCAAGACTGTGACCCCGTATGCCCTAAGAGTAAAACCCAAGAAGCCTGGAATTGAAAAGCTCACCACAATTCTGCCACAATCACTACCAACTACCAGTAGAATGACGACCACAAGTAGTACCAGCACAACCACTACAACAACATCGACAACGACGACGACAACAACTGCTGCTCCCACTACGACTACAACAAAGAGAACTACAACAACAACGACCACCACAACACCAAAACCAACTACGACTACGCCACAACCAACAACCAGCACAACTCCCTCTACTACAACAACATCAACTACAACAACACCAAAGCCAACCACAACCCGAATTCCAACATCCTCCGTCCCATTTAATCACTTCACTTATCCCTCAATAGTAGCATCATCTAACCCACCTCAAATGCTACCAAAATTAGATCAAAACCTCTTCACTTCGGTACCAGTTTTGGATACTCAACCCTGGAGACCAATACATCGTGAAGTACCCGAATTTTTACCAGGCCCACCGCCATCATTCCCCACCAAGACACTGCCAACCGTTTTGCAATCGACACCACTGCCGCCCATTGCCATCAATGAGGAACCACCACGTCGACGAATTGATGAAATTGAATTGCCGTTCCTTCCCGAAGAACCCAGACCACCAAAGCCAGCCATGGATTCCTATACGCCCAATTTCTTTGGATCCGCCTACAGAAAACCGGAATTGACAAGTGAAACTAAACCTCCCCACGACATGATGTTCTACCACAGCTTTGGCAGTCCTGTTTTCATGCCAGCATCGGAAACTATTGAACGTTTAGGAGTTGGAGCATCTGTGCAACCACATCCTCTACCAGTTCCTCTCATTGATGATGTGGTAATTCCACCATTCAAACCCCTAACACCTGGCTTGGCAACACAAAACAAATTGCCCTTTGACATTCCCAGTGCTAATGACAAATTCGAACATTTGGGCGATGGAATATTGGCCAAGAAACCGGAAAATGCGACTCAAAAGATAAGTGAAAAAATCGATATGCCCACAATAACAACTGCAAGACCTACTACTGCTACCGCAATCACTGTCCCCGCAATGACGAAAGAAAATATTGAACCCACTGTAAAGCCCATACAAGATGAAATCGATAGCTCCTCTGTAACATCCGAACTGGCCGATAAAATTGGGGAATTCTTTATGGATTGGTTAGACTTGCCCAAGGATGAGGTAAAACCAAAACAAGAACAGCCACTGGAATCTCGCATTGAACCAGAAGAAGATTCATTCACCGCTGCAAGTAAAGAGAGTGAGCATGATATCGAATCCACAGAAGTTTCCAGCACAACAAATAGAATATCTGAAGAGGATTCGTCAACCTCGACATCAACATCGCCTGGCAAACCGAACTTTTTAAATCTTAAAGAATTGATTTTAAAGCGCAATCAATTGGCTAATCAACGGAAAAGTACAGATTCCACAACACCCGCCATCACTGCCACTACTACAACGGTGAAATCAACTACCACAACAACAACTACTACTACAACCTTAGCTCCCACCATTACCACTACCACACCGAAGGCCTCAACGGTTACGACCAAGCGTATTAAATATCGTCCAAGCAATAGCAAACCACCTACCATGCTGGATGATTCCAATCTCTTCCCCTCCCACTCCAAATGGGAATTTGTCAACAGTTCAGCTGCCAATCATTTCGGTCATACTGGTAATATGCGCAAGGTATTCAATACCACCCTGCAAGCGTGGGTATCCGAAGATGTAGAGAAGACAGAGAAAACCGAATCAGAGACCTTGGATGACATCAAGACCAAAATCAATAATGCCACCAATATTCAGGACATTTCATTCATATTCGATACCTTGGCATCTAAACTGGGAATAACTACAAGTCTGCCGACTAAGGAGCCACCATTTTCGCAAAACAAATTGAAACAATCGCAGAAAAATGAATCCCGCATTAAAGCCAGTAGCACAACCATGAGAACGACACCAACAACTAGTACCACAATACAGACCCCAACAACGACGACAACAACAACTACAAAGAGACCCACAACAACAACAGCCCTACCCGCTTTAACTTCTGAAGAAGATGATCTGTTGGCGTTGGAGATGAGAAGAGAACCTTTCATAAAACCCATGTCCAGCTTTATTGACGACACTTCGGCTGAAGGTGTGGGAGCTGCCATTCCCGTAGTTGGCGAAGCTGAAGTTGAAGTGATAGATCCAACTAAATATGAAGAAATGCTAAAATCTTCACATTTTGCTGATGCCACGACGACCGAGACTACACCTAAACTTGTGACACTGCTGCCAGTAAGGTCTAATTCGGGAATCCGCACCTATAGACCTTTTGTGGAAACGGGAAGAAGTTCTTCCTCGTCATCCATTGAGTCGACATCAGCAACAAATACCAATCCCACAACAGCGTCAAAAAAGCTACCCACCTCTAGACCCAATATTACACGTCGAAAAAATGTCAATCAGAGTCGAAGATTTCCACCTGCAGAAGCGGTTATACGAGGGGGTCTAAAGGTTACCGTTAAATAAACAATATCGAAACCTCACAGCTGTATTTTTAATTAAGCAACTACATTTTTCAATGCTATTATTTTTTCGAATATTTTCGTATCATGTAAAATGAAGCCTTTATTCGATCTCGAATAAAAGGTTTTTTTGGTGATTACTTTGTAGTAGATTTAAGCCGAAACTAGTATTGAATATTGACGAACACCAACTTGTTCTGGCGTTAAGTGAACAATTCTCAGCAACAATACCAGAATGATTTGGAGTACGGTCGATTCGCACACAATTAGTAAATAATTTATCTATAAGCCAATAAACAAATAAAAAATGAAGTTATTTTAATTATTAATTTAGTTTAGTTTAAGTTTCGAATTTCTATCATTACAAATATTCATATTGTTAGTTTCATTTAAAAATCTACACAATTTTGTAATTATTTATATTTCAGTATCGCACCTAAATATATATTCTGTACATTTGTATAAACAATGATTTATTATAATAAAGATTTTTTCTAAAATAATGAATAAATAAATAAACCGACATTGTTTGTAGTAAATTACTAATGAGGGACCTGAAATTAATTGAATAGTGTACATAAATATAGAGAGGTCATAGTGCAATACTCTATTACCTTTGCCTCTTGCATATTTCGTCTATATGGGGGTGCACATCGGTATTTCTACTCTCATCAGTTACGTAGCACATTAAAGTTTCGACAACTTGTTTTGCTAATTTTTTCCTTTCCTTTTGACAAATTTTCTGAAATTATCTTCTCATTTCTCACTTACTTCCGTTTCCGCTTTAAGAATATTTTTTTGTGTGTTAGTGTGTTGGTACACACTTTTTCACTTTTGTTCCATGTTAGAGTATTGGTAGTGGTGTGTGTGTGTGCGTTTGTCAGTGTGTCGAGTGTTTTGTACATGCCATTGGTAACACCTGACACTACTGATAGTGCTAACTAGCTGTCAATGATCAAATGATGGCAAAAAGAGCATTCAAGTTTACACCGATATCTACCACTACATTGCCACTTAACTGTCAGGCTCTCCACTTGCGATACTCTGCAACCAAACGAACATTATCATGGTGGTCATAGAGTGCAGTCGAGTCGAGCAGCAACAGCAGCAGGAGCGACCAATGGCATGACTCCTTTCGGATGACTGTGAGTGGCGGTTACAAGCACTGATGGCCAAGTGTTGAGTAAAACTCCTCCGATTGCACCGTTACTACTGCTGCTGCTGTTGTTGTTGGTAACTACTTTGTACTCGGATAACAGTCGCAGCAAGTTCATGCCATGTTTGACACTTTAAATAAACTTGGTAACTGATGGTTGTCCAAATATAAGAATTGGTAGTTTTACATTGAAGAAAACGAAACGGATGTGGTAGAAGTGGTCTGACTGAAAGGAACATTATAGGGGAGAGTAACGCAACATATCGCAATTTAGAGAGGTCTAAAATCGGGTTAAATTACGAAAAATTAGACAGAATCTCTGGATTCCAAAAAAATATATATCTAGAATTCTAAAATATATCTTATGCCAGGTGATAAAACTGTTATGGATAATCTGTTAATCTATTTAAGATGGATAATGGATAATTTAATCTTAATCTTAAGATGGATAATTTAATCTAACATCTAAGTGTAACAGAATAAACAAATTCAATGACCGTTGTGCCTCCTTGGATTATTCCACCCTGCCATTATGGTATCTAAGGGAAGCTTATGAAGAGTACTATTCAATAGCGACACAAAACATATACATTTTGGGTGAAATTCTGCAATATTTGGCGGATGTTGTTCGTGCCTTTGCTCTGAAATTTTGCACAGACATTGCTAGTACTCCAAGGAAGTTTGGTATTACAAATGAGATATATCGGTCCCCGTTTTGGTGTAGCCCACATGTTTTCCAACCGAATACTTAAGGTATATTAATATTGAAGTATCAAAGCAGGCCGCATATAACGGTTCACCCCATTATTCGGTATTTTGGGCACGTTTTTCCATCGAATTGGCTGTAATTTGGTATTTTGGGTTCTCATTGAATAACACATATCCGTACCAAATATTTGTAATATTGACCGAAGTTTCAGGGTAGGCCTCATATAACGATAACCGCCAATAATCGTTATTGTAAATTTGTATTTTGGGTTCTCTTTGTAAAGCTCATCTCAGCACCGAAAATTTGTAATATTGACTCAAGTTTCGTAGAAGCCCCCATATAACGGTTCCTACCAGTATTAGGTATTTTGGACAAGTTTCTTTTCACTAAATTGGCTCTAATTTGGTAGTTTGGGTTCGCATTGAATAACACATATCCGTAACGAAAATTAGTAATATTGACCCAAGTTTCAGGCTAGCCCCCATATTCGGTATATTGGGGATTTTGAACACGTTTTCAAACCAAATTGACTGTAATTTTGTATTTTGGATTCTCATTGCACATTTTCGTACTTAAAGTATACAATAATGACCCAAGTTTAAGGATAGCCTCCATAATATGACACCCCCAAATATGGGGATTTTTGACATGTTTTCTATCAAAATGGTTCTAATTTGGTATTTTAGGTTTTCATAACGGTACCACAACTCCGCACTTAAAATTATTCACATTGACCCCACGTCGGTATTCTTATATTTTGGACACATTTTTGGTATTTTGTATTCTCATTGTCTGTCAAATCCAAAAATCAATACCAAAACCAGTGAGTGGAGCAGTATAGTCGGACGGGGCCGACCATACGATACCCTACACAACTTCCATGAAAATCTAACGGTCCATAACTGTGGCCTGTATCGTGTTTGCAAATTATAATGGAAAGACGGACGGACGGACACACATGTCTAGATCGACTCAGCTAGTCGAGATATGACGATCGGTATACTTAAAGGTGGGTCTAGGACCAATATTTCGCGGCTTTACAAACTTTTGGGGCTGCACAAAGCTATAATACCCTGACAACATAGTTGTGTAGGGTATAAATATCAATATTGAACTCCTTTTTATTATAGTTCCATATTTTGAGAATTTCAATCATCTTTTTCTGACATATTATTTGGAATGTTCAAGGTCCTATCATAACATAAGATTTCTCCAGGGAGCCCCCATTAATTTTAGATATTTTGATTGTTAACCTCATGGTGGAGGGTATAAAAAGCTCGACTGGGGCAAACTTAACACCGTTTTTACTTGTTTATTTTATTTCGAAATATGAAATAGAATTTGGAAACTCGTCTTCCTCCTACTTTGGACTTTTGCTAACGGGTTTTATCATCAATTTAATCAACTGGTAAAATCATCTCCGAAAGAATTAAAATTTTTATTTGCAACACAGATCCAATCATCATGCAAACATCAATGTCTTTGAAAGTTTTCCAATAATTTTACACAAAATTCTAATTGAGTATACTTGCACTTTCACACCTTGTTATTCTATCCTATAACCTCTATTATTGATTGTGATCAAAAACAACAGTAGTATCAATTGCAAAGAAACAAATATAATTCTTAATTTATATGCCTACGGCAGTTATATTTCAAAACTGTGGTTTTATGACAACAACATACACACACACAAACATTAGAATTGTAAAGTTTCTCCGGTTAAATAATGAAATTTTTTTGTGCATTCAACAAAACAACCCAAACGAATTGGCAAGTTTTTCTAAAGTTTTCCATATGTGTTTGGCGTTACCAACACCCAGCCCCATCCGCTGCTGCTGCTACGGTTTCAGCTACCCGCGGTTACAACAATAATAACAGGACCTATTCAATAGCGCAGTGTTCTGTGGTTTTGTCTCTGCAGCATGTCGACGAGTGTTAGGTCTCGCCATTTGCTTGTCATACAATGCTGACTTATAGCTTTTGCTATTAGCGTAACAACGGAAAACTTTTTGCGTTTTATTCAACATAATTTCAACATTTCGTCTAGGCATGTTGCAGTACACCATTGTCTATGAGCGTGTGTGTGTGCGAGTGAGTGTGCTAAGGCAACTTAACACCATTACAAAAAGAACAATTGTGTCTGTTAGCATTTACACCTAATTAGCCTTCTACCATACATAAATCTTGCTCTCGAACATAATCCGAAACTCCAGCTGGAGCCTGGTGGCATTACAATGCAGCGTCATTGTCGTCATCATTGTGTCACAGCGATTCCTTGGAGCAAGCAACCAAGACAATGCAAATCATCTTTGTTGTATCCCCGAAGCAAAATTGGTGTGATGTTAAGTATGCGAAGACCTTTCTGCGCGCCACATCCCCTCTGCGTAACTCATCCTAGAACACATTCACATACAATCCAAGGAAGCGAACCGAACCATATGCCCTGTTACACAACTGCAAGGATTATGTTGTTTCTGTTCGCTTGTTGGTGACGTCAAATGTTGCTGTTACCGTTGGAATTGCTGGCTGTCTGCTTTGTATGAAATCGCAAGCTTTGTTCGTGTCGATGTTGTTGTTGTTGCTGCTGTTTCCGTTGCTGTTGTTCTCTTTGGGTATCCAATATTATATTTCCTTTGGCATAGAAGTTCAGCACCAAAAATTATCCTTAATTTACACTTGAAATTTCTTGGCGGCGTTTGTCTTTTGTCTGCCAATTGTATTAGCTTACTAATTAGCTTCCAGCTACACAATGGATAATGCAGCTAATTCGTATGTCATGTACATAGACATGCACATACGTACGCTCACATACATACAAAAGTATGTTGTAGCATTTGTGGCGATTCTATAAAAGAATGAAGGTACATTTTCATGTTGCCGTGGAAATGATAATCATAAGTCCAATCCATCCATCCATTCGATATATTTAGCTGGGAGGCACAATTCTCATTACGTTCGTAATGATGTTAGATTTAGCTTTTGCGCTGTTTACTTTGAGATATGATATTGATCTGTGTGAAAATATAAAATATATGTCGTAATGGGTGAGCTAATTTAAGAAACTCTATGATAATGTTGTTTTGAGTTTATTGTTGAATTCGGTTGCCTAGAACCGTATTATATTATTAATTTACAA